GGAGGAGGAGGAGGAGGAGGAGAGGATGTTCTGGGAAAACAAGAACCCCACTCAGGATGTGGGGAAAAGTACAACCAACATCCCAACGACTACATCACCATCGCGATCAACCACGCCATGCCGATGAGGAAAATGCGCGCCGCACGACGGCAGTATTGGGAGCTACCGCCCAACGATCTCAAGCTGAGGGACAAGTGGAATAATGCCAAATACATTGGCCAGGGTTGAGCAGCAACAGCCACTGCGAAAAACAGTGCAGCAGGCCTACCCGCTGCAGACGCAGTGGCACAGATCGCCTTCACCAAGGCCGTCATCCTCAACGGCATGCACCTAGCCCAACAGGCAAAGGATATGGGCAACACCAGGCGGACGGTGGAGGACTACTACGAACATGTCACGGCCAAACATAAGCATATACACATCACGTGAACGACTCGGAGAGCAACAGCGAAGAGCTCCACATCTTGCAGCGCGACGTCAGCAACGCCAGGGGCGACAGCCCCAGCGATGCCGGCGCCGTTGACGACGAAGCTGGAAGGCCACAGCAGGACCTGCCGCAGGGAAGGGCGCCCATCCTACCTCCAGAAGACGCGCAAGGGCGGGGGGGTGGATGGGCGGCAGAAGCGCACGACGCCAGCACCTTGCTCATGGCGGCGAAGGAGGACAACCGACGCGCGGCGGCCGATATCAGGGAGGACAAGACTGACGCCGACGACGAGTCCCACGCCCTCAAGAGAAACACTCGCGCAGCCGAAGCAATCGCCCAGGAACGGGGCGAGCAACAACATGGCGACGCAGCATGCGCCCAGCACTACTGCGGCGAGCTCATGCGCGAGGTCAACTTCTCCGAGGGGGCAACGGCGAAAAAGGCGCCGCGCCACGAATTCCCTACAGACAGGGGGCGCGGCTGCCCCCAAAAGGACGGAGTAGCAGTTCGAGGCCATACGGACCGCCACCAGGAGTGCACCTGGACATCGCGACCAACCCATGATCGACCAGCTGCAGAAGGAGCTGAAAAAGGAGCAGATCTAGGAAGGCAGCAACGTGCTGATCTGCGAGAAATGCGCGGAGGAAAGCAGGCTCCAACGAGCCCAGGACGAATTGAGAGCACAACAGAGTTGCACGGAAGCAGCAAGGCGCGTCGTCCGCGAGGAGTGCCGGCAGAGGGCCTCGGGCACAGAGCCCCCGGCGATAGGGGGGGGGCGCTGAGCAGGGCAGGCTGGCGGGCGTGGCCCGGTGGCCAGTGGCCCACGGTCGCGCCCATTTTTTTTTTTTTCCCCCAGCGTGCCAGGCGCCAGGCGGCGCCAGGCGCCTCCACCCCTTTGAGATTCTTATCAGTTCACCTCCTCATGTTCCTCCTCCTCCTCCTCCTCCTCCCTCCTCTCCTCCCTCCTTCCCGCTCCTCCTCCCTCTCCTCCCTCCCCTCCTTCCTCCTCCTCCTCCTCTCCTCCTTCCTCCTCCTTCCTCCTCCCCTCCTCATCCTCCCTCCTCATGTCATCCTCCTCCTCCTCCTCGTCCTCCTCCCTCTCCTCCTCCTCCTCCTCCTCCTCCTCCTCCTCCTCCTCCTCCTCCTCCTCCTCCTCCTCCGTATGGCAGGTTCACTTGCCTCTACACATGATTCCCCACCAGTCGGCGACCCCTGGGGCAGTTCTGCAGGGGTAGGTTTTCAGTTCGATCACCGCCCCAAAGCCGACTGGCCCTGAGGGGGGGGGGGGCGAGGCTCTCGACGTTCTTTCACGCCATCGGGAATCAGGAATCAGAACGAGGATCTGCACGTATTGAGGTTGATGTGGGGGTGAGGGAGGAGACGGAGGACGGGGAATCAACGAGATCGAGCGGGAATGGGAAACGAGAGCGAAATGGAGGAGCAGGAGGAGGAGGACAACGCGGAGGGGGAAAAGGATACGCCGTCGAGTTCCACAAGCACCGGCTCACTCGAGGATCCCCCCGAATTTCCACGGTCGCCCCCTCGACGAAGCGCACGGAAGGCTGCGACTTGCGTGAGAGGTGCGCCGACATGGGGGGGGCGCTGTGCGTCCGCGCACATTGACACCACATATGGAGTTTTTTTCTTATGGGGCCGCGACGTTCGTGTGGGATTCGCCGACATGTGCAGAGAAGGCACAAGCACTGTTCAAGAAAACTCTGACGGCAGGGGCTCAGCGCATGCGTCGCCGAAGGGAGCATGTGTCCTCGGCTTCCACTTACGACGTTGGCCGGCTCTGGGCCAGTGGGAAAGCCCTTCATGTGCTGAGCCTCCGCTTCACCAACGCCGAAGTTGTCGCCCTCGCGCGCCGTGCTGTCCGCCGAGAGCGGCGCACAACAAGACGGTGTCCACGCTCCTTGTGCGATCCGCCATGCGCTCCGCCTTCCCGAACTCCCCGCCCTATCGATGTCAATGCCGCCTCCGTTCTCGCTGAAGCCGTCGGCGCCGATGAGGTTTTTGTGCTGGCCGCGGGAGCGGGAGCATGAGGCGGATCAGAAGGAGGGGCTTCGTTTCGAGAGCGAAAGTGGGAGGGGCTGTCGCACGTCCCTTCTCTCTCACTCTCTCTCTATTTCTCTCTTTTTTCTCTCTCGCTCTCTCTCTCTCTCGCTCTCTCTCTCTCTCTCTTCTCGCTTCTCTCTCGTCCCTTCTCTCTCTCTCTCTTTTTTCTCTCTCTCTCTCGCTCTCTCTTTCTCTCCTTCGAATCGCCCAGCATGTCAGGCACGTCAGTCGATAGGTGGGAGTCGAGCCCAGGGAAGGGGGGGATAAGGCGAGATGATTTGACGCTATCGCCGCCGCTGCGAGACCGTGGTCGTCAGGATGGTAGGCCGGTTCAGGCAGCGATCCAAGGTTTCAGACTCGACACTTCACTGCTGCGTCATGCGCAGCCAGACCCATCAACGTCAAAAGTACGCATTGCCAGCCGCTGTCGTAGCTCGATAGCTCAAGGCAGCGAGCGCAGGTTCGATCCTACTTCATGTGCGACTCAGCGTCGCAGTCAGTACCAGTGAGGCCTCGCTACGGACGATCAATATGCTCGGTATCGTAACATGTCGTCATCGTGCTTGGTTTCGGGCCCGGCATCTGTCCCGGGCTGCGTGCTGAATCGGCAACGACCTGATGAGCGAGGAGCGGGGTTTCCGCTGCCGCGGCGCGTGCGGCTTGGTTTGCCTCTGACCGCAAAGTTTGTGCCAGTCGCCAGCCGCTGTCGCAGCTCGGCCAGCGGCACCGTGCTGTGGTGGGATTGCGGGGCCTGCCCCGGCGTTCGGGAGGGGGAGCGGCCCCAGGTGACGAAGGTATCCGCCGTAGCGCCGTGGCGCTGCGGCCGGTGGCCCAGGCCGGTGGCCCGAACGTTGTGTTTTCAATGACGCGCTCGGTAGCGTAGCCGCTTGGAGCGTCCGTCTCTGGCATTCGTGCGGTGGCCACGAGTGGTCCGAGAGGTCTTCGTGGTTTGTAATGTTACGATGGCCCCCCCCCCGTGCAGATGTAGTGTGGTGGCTCTCATATCCAGTGCTCAACGTTTAGCTTCTAGCCCTCTCTTCTCCTGCGCCAGAACTCCTTGTCTTTCTCCTACTTCCGTCTCCTCCTCCTCCTCCTCCTGCCACGTTGCGCGTTTCCTGTTTCTCCGCACTCTCAATCCTCTTCCTTGTCGTGCCTGTCCTGCTGCCTGCACGTCCGCCTCCTACCTTTTTTCTGCCGCTCCTCCTCCCCCCCTCTCAGCTCCCGTTTCGTTGGCTGCTGCTGCTGCTGCTGCCCCTCCTCCAGCATCTTCCTCCCTGCTCCTCCGCCCTGGCCGCTTCGTGCCTCGCCGGGCTCCCGCTCCCCGATCTGCCGGCCTCCCGAGGTCGCGGGCCTGTTCGGGCCAGAAGGCCGACCGCGCTGCCGGGGGTCGGCGGGGGCGCATCGCTGCTGCGCCGGAGGGAGGGCGAGGAGGATGGACGAGGAGTGTGGTGATGGTGATTCGGTATGTCAGTGTGTCGGTATGACGACGACGGGGATGATACTGAGAATGATGATGGTGGCTCCCCTCCTCCTCCTCCTCCTCCTCCTCCTCCTCCTCCTCCTCCTCCTCCTCCTCCTCCTCCTCCTCTTCCTCCCCCTCCCCCCTCTTCATCCCCCTGCTCCTCCTCCCCCCCCTCCCCTCCCCTCTCTCCCCCCCCCCGCCCTCCTTCCGAGAAAGCTGGGCGGGCGAGGGTTCGAGGCGACGAGGGGGGCGAAGGCAACGAGCGGGCGGGCGGATAACTGAGGGGGCACGCGGAGAAACACAGTGGACAGGGGGGGCGAGCGGGATGGAGGAATGATCCCGAGGATTGATTTGAAGAGTGTACGAATACCAGGCCAACCACATCATAAAACAACAGATGCGTTTCAAAACTGTGAGCTCAAAGAGAGCACGCGGACGATGAGGGACGAGAAGAAAGGCGCGGGGTTCGGGGCGGCACGGCGTGGTGGGGGAGGGAGGCGAGGAGGGGGGGCGGAGATTTATGCAATTAACATCTAGCCACTGCCATTGCCACATGGCTAGTGCCATCACTGCGGGCAAGCCCGCTGCCCCACTTGACACGGGAGTGCACGCGCGCGCCAAACGCATGATCGATCCGCTCATCCATCATGACAACCCTTGCGGCTGACCTACTCTGCTCGGGCCGAACCCACCGCGGGCGCGCAGATTTGACAAAATCCGCGAACTTACTTTTAAGTTACTACAGCCATACATTAATGCTTTCACTGATGTGAGGCCTTTAGCAAGCGCCTTCCATCAGAAGCCTTGCCCCGCGTCTTGGCGGAGCTGGCTCCTGGGCTGCCCAGGCGAGAGCACGCGGCGACCCTGGGCGCGATCGATTTCGTTGACGACGACGTCGCGCGGTGACCGACCCGAGCCCGGCGCTGAGGGCCGAGAAGGACATCTCCGACCAGCTGCCTCGAGCATGGGTCAACGTCGGGCCCCAGTTCGAGTGGGGGACCCTTGGCGACGGACCTCGTGGACCTCGGGGTCTTCGCGGTGCCCCCGGCCGAGGACCTGGTCTGCGCGCGGGGCCAACCGCTGCCAAGCGGTCTCTTCGCGGTGGAAAAAATGAGCCAGGACTTGGAGCGAGCAGGGTCACGAGACTCATCTTGAACGCGGTGCCAGGCATCGCCGTCCTCGAGCCGCCCGTCGGGGAGGCGGGCATGGTCGCCTCGTCGACGAGCTGGGTGTTGTTGCGCATTCCCGAGGGCAAGCTCCTCCTGTGGCCGGGTGGCGACCAGGACGGGGCGTTCTTCTCGCGGCGTGCGCCGCGGCCTTGGCGCCGTTGCACGGTGGTGGGGCGCCCGCCTTCTGGCCGACGCTTCAGGCGCAAGGAGCCAGAGGTGCACCTCGCGTCGGCGGTCATCGCGATGGGGCGGGCGCCGGCGGTGCTCGCCTTCCAGCGCGTCCACGGGCGGCCGCGTCGCCTGCCGCCGCCGCTGGGCGCCGGGCCGCCGCTGAGAGCGGAGTGGCGGCCTGGCGCGCCGCGGCCCGTGGCAGCGGCCGCAGAGGAGGCCGACTCCGCGCGGCGGCAGGTCTACATAGACGACTTCGGCGCGCCCGAGATCGCGGAGGAAGCGCGTGCTCGACGGCTCGACGTGCCGCTCGCGTAAATGCGGGCGCGGGCGCGAGCCAGCTGCGAGAGAGCCGGCGTCCCCTACGCCCCCGAGAAGGCGCGCTGCAGGCAGCTCCGCGTCGAACGCTCGAGCGGCGACGTCGACGGGGAGACGGGCCGCCTCGCGGCGACTTTGGCCAGCGCAACGGGGCCAGTCGCGCTGCGCTTGGCCCCCTTCAGGCTTGAGACCGCCCCGAGGCGCCTCGCGATGACGATCCTCCGCCGCTTCGCCATGTTTTTCGAGTTTCGCAGGCCTCTGTTCAGCGTGCTCAACGAGGTCTGGAGGCTGAGTTCGCGGCGCTCCGATGTCCGCTACTCGGCGGCCATGCTCGTGGAGTTGCTCGTCGCTGTCCTGGTCACGCCCACCGATGGCCGCGACCTCGCTTCGGGCCAAGGTCGAGGGCATGGCGACGGTCTCGGACGCGCCCGAGTTCGGCGACGGCGTCTGCGCGTCGGTCGGGCTCAGGCAGCAGGCGTCAGCCCGCCTCGGGGAGGCTTCTTTGCTGGGCGAGCAGATGAGCGTGGGGGTGCGGCGCCTGCAGCTGCCCGCCGACCCCTCAGCCCTGGGCGGTCCCCATCCCTTGCGGCGTAGTGCCGAGGGCCCCAAGAGTGCTCCTCATCAGCTTGTTGGACGGGATAAGTGGCCCTGCTGTAGCCTTTTCGCGTCTGCCTGTCCACGTCGTCGGCTACGTCGCGTCCGAGACGGACTCCAAGGCGCGCAGGATTGCGCGCCTGCGGTGGCCGGGCGCCATCGACCGGGGCGACGCGAATCGCGCGTCGGCCTCCGCGGTGAAGACTTGCGGGACGCCTGCTACGACGAAGACCTCTGCGCGGCTGCCGCGGGGGGGCCCTGTGAGGACTTGGCCAGGCTGCGCGCGTCGGGCGCGGGCTTGCGCGGCGCGAAGTCTGGCTTGTTCTACGCGGTGCCACGGCTGCTGGGGCTCCTCGAGTCGGCAGTCACGGGGGAAACTGCAGCGGTTCGTCGAGAACGCGGCGAGCATGACGGCGGACAACAGGGCCCGCATCAGCAAGGCCCTCGGCGTTTTGGTCTTCTTCTTGTATTCGTCTGCGCTGGCGCCCTGCCGTCGGCCGAGGCTGCGCTGGATGAGCTGGGAGCCGCGCGTCGCGGGCCCCCGGGTCGTCGCGGCCAAGGAGGGCGGGCGCCGTGAGATCTGCTCCCCGCAGGCGCCCCTCAGCAGCCTCGCCTGGGAGGGCGTCGGCTCGCGCTGGCTGGGCGCCCCGGGCTTCTCCCGACTCTGGCGCGCTGCAGGCCGCTGCCGAGGCCCCCCATCGGCGCCGCGAGGCCTGCGGCGGGCTTCTGCGGCGGCGCGCGCGCTGGGGGGCAGATTATTTCAGGTGTCGCGTCGCCCTGTACAGGGAGAAAAATGCGCTGCTCAACGGCGCCGTCGGGTCGCCCCCTCGCCTGCCTTCCCGCTCGGAGAGAGAGGAGAGAGAGAGAGAGAGAGAGAGAGAGAGAGAGAGAGAGAGAGAGAGAGAGAGAGAGAGAGAGAGAGATGAGAGAGAGAGAGAGAGAGAGAGAGAGAGAAGAGAGAGAGAGAGAGAGAGAGAGAGAGAGAGAGAGAGAGGAGAGAGAGAGAGAGAGAGAGATGAGAGAGAGAGAGAGAGAGAGAGAGGAGAGAGAGAGAGAGAGAGAGAGGAGAGAGAGAGAGAGAGGATATAGAGAGAGAGAGGGATAAACACAACAACAAAAAGAAAAGAGAAGGAGGAGAAGAGAGAAAGAGAGAGAGAGAGAGAGAGAGAGAGAGAGAGAGAGAGAGAGAGAGAGAGAGAGAGAGAGAGAGAGAGAGAGAGAGAGAGAGAGAGAGAGAGAGAGAGAGAGTGAGAGAGAGTGAGAGAGAGAGAGAGAGAGGAGAGAGAGAGAGAGAGAGAGAGAGAGAGAGAGAGAGAGAGGAAAGACAACAAACTGATATATATATATATATATATATATATATATATATATAATGAGACGAGAGAGAGATGAGAGAGAGGAGAGAGAGAGAGAGAGAGAGAGAGAGAGAGAGAGAGAGAGAGATAGAGAGAGAAAGAAAACAACAAAAAACAAATCTATATTATACAAGGACAAGGATGCTCGTTTTCACCGTGAACTACACCCCCGCGGCCACGGAGGGCTCGAAAGCGACCGACAGCTCCGACGCGCGGGCCTTCTTGTTCGGCGACGCTTTCAGCGTGGATCCCGCTGCATGGCTGGCGCAGGGCCTACTGCTGGACGCTGGGGCGCGGACCGGGCCATCCACGTCGCGGGGGCCGACGCGCCTTGGCCGGCGCGGGGCGACATCGGGCGGCGCGAGGACCGGCCGGGCAACCTGGAGACGCTGGAGGCGCGGCGCCTGGATCTGCACAGCCCGTCCCGAGCAGAGAAGAGTGGCACCGACGCGCGATTGGACTGCGGGCCCCCCGTCCAGGCCGCGTGGCTGGCCGCGTTCGAGCCTCGATCCGCTCGCTCGGCGCTGGCGCGCGGCCCTCGGCATGGCGTGGCCGAAGCACAAGAGCATTCGCATAGATGTTCGAGAGCTGCAGGCGGCTCGCGCAGCTCTTCGGCGGCTGGCCCGCGAGGCGAGTCGGCGCTGCAGCAGATGGCTTCGCCTCGTCGACGGCCAGGCGGTCGCGGCCATCGTCGCGAAGGGGAGGGGCAGCACCCCGCGCTCGCAGCCTGCCCTGCCCAGGTGGGCCGCGGCCGCGGTCGCGGCCGGCGCGCGCCCGATCATCGGCTGCGCGGCGTCGAAAGACAATCCCGGCGACGGGCCGTCGCGGAGGTCGCGGCGTGGCTCGCGGCTCAAGACCGCCGCGCCCAGGTCAGGCGGCGCGGCCTCCACCCGCCGCGCGCGCCCGGATGAAACCGGGCGCCGGCCTCGCTCCGCGCGGGCGCCGCGACGAGGCATGGGCGCGTCGTCGCGGTCAGCCGCCTGCTGGGATCAAAGCGCTCGGCGCGGAGGGCGAGGGCGCGGATGGCCTCGTCGCGGGGTGCTGCGAGGGCCTCTGGGCTGCCGGCGCGGGCGTCGCGGCGGCCCGCAACGCGGCGGCGGGGGGCTTTTTTTCCAGCCTGAACCTCCGGCGCCGTCTGGGCCTAAGCTGGGCGCTGCTGAAGACGCGACGGAAGCGGGGGCTTGCGTCTCGGACGCCCCCCATTCGCGCCCGAATTCGTCGGGGCCCTGGCGGGCCTAGAGCTGGAGGCGGGATGCATCGACATCGCTTGCCTCCCGACGGTGGATTTCGAGGGCCTCTTGAGCGGCGGCGGGGCCTTCGCATTGCGACGCGACGACGCGGCATTTCCAGGTCGTTCTGCCGCTCTCCGCGTCGCCTCGCCCAAGGGCACAGCAGGCCGCGACGCGGCCGAGGCAGCGGTGATCCGAGCGCCCATCTGCTCGCAGCTGCTGCGGCTGGCGGCTCGCGGGCGCGCTGATGACCAGCGCCTGGCGGCGCGGACGCCGCGCCAGCTGCGGGCGGCCCTCGCGGCACCGGTGGAGGCGCTTGGCTTCGACTGCCCCTTCACCTGACGCGACTGCCGACGACGCGGTGGGGCGTCGGAGTTCTTCCTGCGGACCAGCAGCACGGAGGCTGCGCTGGTCCGCGGGCGCCGGGCCAGCAGCCTCACGGCCCGCATCTACATCGAAGACGCCGTCGCGGATCTCGCGAGTGTCAAGCGTGGCGACCTGCAGGCCGAGCGCGCCCGCCACGGGCTGCAGGCTCTGCGCATCTTCCCTGAGTTGCCACGGTGCAGTATATTTTATTTTCAGTGTGACAAGTTGAAATGCGTTGCCTCTGCCATTGCAGTATCTGAAGTGACTCCACCTTTCCTTTCAATATTCTCATAGTACGTTGTGAGAGGCGGTCCTGGTGGCCACGAGTGGGGGTTAATGGATAGCTCAGCGTCCTCCACCATATGTGCTTAAACAGATGTAGGAGACTTTCGGTCGACGGACGCGGGCGCGCCCCGCGCCCGGCAACTCAGGCGCGGGGACTTTCTCCGCGCGCGGCCTCTGGATTTCTCCTGGGAGAGGGGGGGGGGGGGCGCAAGCCGCGCTTGCTGGGGGGTCCATTCTGGACGGAAGCTCTCGGTCGAGGCGCAGCTGCTCGCCCGTGGGGCCCTCGGGGCCGTTGGCCTTGTCTTGTAGCGTCGCCTGGAGTTGTAATCGGGGCGCTAGAGTCTAAGAGCAAGCTGACCATTGGCGCGTGGACGCCCGGCCAAAACCGCATGCCCGCATGCGCGAATGTGCATGAATATATGGGGGTCGGGAGGTCCTGACACGCCGTCTCCTACTGGCAGCCTATTTGGGCCCCCACCCACTGACCGCCCCTCGTAGGACCCAGCTCCCTGTTAACCAATGTTGGTGCTGGAGCCCGAAGGTTAGCTCAGCGCCCCTTTCCATGCGTGCTTAAACAGAGTCGAGGAGTGGATGCGCCCCGCGCCCGGTAACTCAGGCGCAAGGACTTGCTCCACGCGTGGCCCTTGGTCTTCTCCTGGGGGGGGGGGGGGGGGGGGGCGCAAGCCGCGCTTGCTGCGGGCCCCGCTCTGGGCGGAAGCTCTCAGTCGAGGCGCATTTGCTCGCCCATGAGACCCTCGGGGCCGTTGACCTCGTCCTGTAGCATTGTCAGCAGTTGTAAGGCGGCACCAGAGCAAGCTGGCCATTGGCGTGTGGACGCCTGACAGAAACCGTATAACATATATGTACATATATATATATATACACAGATAGATGTATACTGGGTGCAATGCGCGTGGTGCGCACTCTATGTGGCGCACCACGTGTCGCAATGATGTTGTGCCATACGCGTGCTGCAATCTATGCGGTGCAACCCACTCTGCGGAACTTGAAGTCGTCATCTCCACTGCTCGCGCAAACACCCCACCCACCCACCCGCAACTTGGTTTGCAAAACCTGTTAAGACCGGCTACGACGACACCGACGACAACGACTAGGACGACACCGACGACGTCTCCGACGACTTCGACGACAACAACGACGCCGACGCCGACGACGACGAAGACGACGACGACGCCAACGAAGGCGACGACGAGGAAGGAGGAGGGACGACGACGGCGACAACGACGACAACGACGAAGGAGGAGGGAGGACGGTGACGACGCGAACGACGACGAAGGAGGAAGGACGGCGACGCCGACGACGACAGCGACGAGGGAGGAGGGAGGACGACGACGACAACGACGACGACGACGGCGACGACATAGGAGAGACGACGATGAGACGCCGACGACGGACGACGACGACGACGACGTGGGAGGAGGACGAAGGACGACCACGGCGACAACGACGATGGAAACGACCACGACGCCAAAGAGGACGACGACGACAAACAGAAGAAAAGACAGAGGACGACGTAGGCGACGACGACGACGCG